TCTTTCTTTTTTTTTTTTTTTATTCGATAATTTATATCTTCACGATCGATGATATCCACGTTTCACTGATCGACCGAATCTTTCGAGAAACGTATGGGTAAGTTATGGTCCATAAAATAAAGGAAATGGCAGTGAACCGATATCACGCAACACTTTTGTCGTAAGAGCAACACGATAAAACACGAAACTAAAAGTGTCAGTCTTCGATTCTCTGGAAATGTATCGCGGGATCTGCAAACTGAATAATCAAGAATAAAGAAAGGTTATTTTTCTTTCTCATTTTTTAGGTTGAGTACGATACTATTGGTCCCCGCAACACAAGAAACGCGGATCACATATGGAGAAATGGAAAATATTGCGAAGACAAGGTGATTCGTTGCACGAGTTCGTTCTCGAGCGAGATTAATCGTATATATACATAAACATCGATTGACATCGAGCGGAACAGATAACGTGGCGAATTAATCTTAATCAACGTTATTACGAAATAAAAAATGCGCATGTATAGACAAGTCTTCTCGTAAGGACGAAATTCGGTGACAATTCGACGAAAAATTCCCTTCTCCGTTTTCCATCTATTGCTGTCGATCTTGATTCGTTCGTGGAGATGTCGAGCGTCAGTGGCGCCACCTATGCGAAGAAATTTCTCGAAATTATTTTTATTATTATTATTATTATACTATAAAATGTTTCGAACGACTTATAGACCTAAATTAATTATACGCTTGGGAAATCGAACGATCACTTAGAAATGTTATTTTTGATTTTTCGTTTCGTTTGTTGAATATTCTTCGCATAGTGATAACCATTGCTCGATGAACGTCGCCAATATAGCTGCCGCTGGTGGGCGGTTCGTTTGAAAGCGGAATTAATAAAATTGAAAAAAGTGCGATTCGAACACGAATATTTTAACGATTGTCTTTTTCAATGTATAATGGAGGGTCAATTGTTGACTGTAGCTTTCGTTCCGTAGACATCCCGTAGGTTTTTTTTTTTTTCGAACAATACGGTGTACGGTTGACGTACACGCTGAACACAGCAAAAATATAATGGCGGTGCTTTCAGTTAGCTGACCGGTCATTGGTTTATTTTTTCTTCGATCGTGTTTCTCGGCTTTGCTTCTGGTTCCCTTCGCTTCGCCTCGAATTTGCTCGTTTCGTTTATGCTTCTGCGCTTCGTGAGTTCTACGCTTATCGGCTAGTAGTAAAGCAGTTTTGGAACGAGCCTTCGTTCGCAGTGATTGCGAAAAAATGATATTTAAAGCAATCCCTATTTGAAAAATTAATTCAGAGATTCGAAGTGTTTACTTTCAAAATTAAGAGGAAATTATTGATCTTTAAATATAAAATATTCAGATATATAAATTTTCAAATTTATAATATTTTAACTTTGTTACGATTATTATTAAATAAACTTTAAACTAAATTGTGATGAAACGTAGCTGCGAACGAAGACGCATGCACGAACGTGTCATATTATCCGATACAAATAAATAAATAATCAATTATGTACAAGTATAAACATGGTGTACAAG